ATCACAGCTGCAACCTCTGCCGCGACGACGCGCTCGCCCACCTCGACTCCCACTGCTGCAGTGGCCGGTGCCGCCGCTGCTGCAGCCGCTGCAAGCCGCAAGGTCTTCCCCAAAAGTATGGAGCCCCCCGTCGTCTCTTTTTACGGGGCCGAGCCCATCCCGTTGCCATCGCGCTTCGCTGGCGTCAAGAAGCGGCTCATCGCCGGCCACGAAGCTGCCGTTGAGGCTTCGTGGCACCGTCTCATCAATGCTCTGAGGACCGAGATTACAGATATCTCCACTCGTGGATCGGAGCTGATCCCGTCCATCAACTTCACCGACATCAATGACCCTGTCCGCGTCGAAGCCTTTGCGCACAGGCTGCGCCGGTATGGTGTAGCTGTCATACGCGGCGTTGTGCCGCCCAACGATGCTCAGAAATGGGTGCACGAAACTCACGAGTATCTCGACAAGAACCGCGAGTTCAAGCCACCCGCTCTTCACGACCCTACTTGCATTGATCTCTTCTGGACGCCCGTTCAGGTGCGTGCCCGCGCGCATCCCAACATGCTGCGCGCGCAAAAGTTCGCAATGTCCTTTTGGGAATCGACAGACGACGTGCACATCACCCGGGCACCTGTGAGCTATGCCGATCGTCTTCGTATTCACAACGACAAGCTCGGCGCCGTCGGTCAACCCACCGGAAACTCGGCCGCAGACTCTCTTAGCACCACTGCCTCATCAACCGTTATCGCGCAAATCGACAGCGGCAGTCTAGAACGCTGGGAACCGGACGGTTACGGCCGTGGCGGCACCTACGAGGCCGTCTTCCGCGGCGACTGGGAGTCCTACGATCCCTGGGATCCGGCCGGTCGAGTCGGTGCCACGACGGATCTGTACAACGGCGCGGGCGCCTGCAGCATCTTCCGCATGTTCCAGGGTATTCTCGCGCTCACCGAGGTTGAGCAGGGCATGGTGCGCGTGTTGCCGTCGCCCAAGCTGGTGGCTGCGTACTTCCTCTTGCGGCCGTTCTTCTCGCCGAAGCGTGGGCCGCCAGAGCAGCCGGATGGCGGCAAGGCGGACCAGTGGGCTGCGTATCTTGATGCGTCCAACTGGACGCTTGACCTGGAGCCAAATACCATTATCCACGGAGCCGTCCCGGGTCATGCTCAGCGTCTCACGGAACGCTGGCACCCGCATCTGCATCTGCGCAGGAGTCTGGTCTCTATGCCTAGCCTACAGGCCGGTGACTACGTCATCTGGCATTGCGACCAGGCCTACTCCATCATCACGGGCGGCACCAGGTTAGGCGTCCCGCCGTCGTTGCAAAACGAGTCAAATGAGCTTTCCCTGCTCACGTACACCCCCGTTTGCCCCCTAACGCAGACAAATGCCCTGTTCCTCGCTCGCCAGAGAAAGGCATTCCAGACCGGTCAACCGGGACCGGACTTTGACACGCTGGGTGGGCTGGGAAGCGAAGCCTCGCATCAGGATCGTCCCGGTGCCAAGGAGGTCGAGGAGTACGGCGGAGTCGACGGCCTCCGCGCAATGGGATTGGCACCCTACGATGTCGAACCAGCGGGTGTCATCCCGCCCAAGCATGCGGATGCCATGGATATTGATGATGAGGAGGGCATCAGGAACAAGACAAAGACGGAAGCGGAGACGGAACTCCTGCGGCTGGCAAACATCATTCTCTTCCCGAGCCGCTACGATTTCTATATTCCTACAAATGGCACCCGAGGCAGCGGCGATCGCACTCCTCGCGCGACTGCAGGACCGCCAAAGACGGTGGTGAACGGCAGTAAGAACGGCAGCAAGAGCTGACGGCGTTGGTTGAAGGGGCGATGGCGGCGCGGCGATCGGCGACAGGTAGACTCCTCGGGTAGAGAGATTGTGGAGGAAGAGGATGAGGACGACGAGGAACCGGAGACCATCGTCGAGACTGTGACCTCCAAGGGGATGAGTGAGGGAACCATCACAGTTACAGTCACCGCGGCGGAAGTCTAGATTGCTGTTTTTCTTACCGTGATACCCTGCAATCGGGCGACTCGTCGACGGAGGACTGGATGATAGAGGAAGAGAGAGTGTGTGAGGGTGGGACAGAGAGAATGGGAAGGCCGCCCCTTCAACGTGACGCTAGAAAGCACATATTACGCGTGTAGATGACGATCGAGTTCAGGATCGAGGAATGAAGGAAGACCTGTCAATATCCAGTACGACTGACTTTCGGACCGCGATTGAGGACAGGAACAACTGGTAGACGAAACTTTGCGAGATTTCATGCATCTTCATGGGCTTGGCGGGATCCGCCGTCAAGACCCGATACTTTGTTTTAGCCCTTCATCTTACCACATTTGATTTTGTATGCAATTGTATCTGCGGTCTGCAGACTGCAGACTGTGAGTGTACGACGTGAATAATTACGGCGAATATTGATCAAAGGGGCGGGCGTTGCAGGATGGCGGCCGGGACGTAGCCGGTTCTTCGGCTGAAGAGGACCGGGACGTGTTCCCGGCTCACACCACCACACTTCCCATTCTTAGGCTCTCATACCTAGTCTCACTTTCAGATGGCGCCGCCCCGAGAGTTTGGGACCGGGCCTGGCTCTGCGCCGGCCGCTGTATTGACCTTACAGCCGGGAATGCGCTTTTGGGCGATCCGATTAGATCCCCTGGCTGTTGCGTTGTCAAACGCGCGCCCTTGAAGGGTGAAGAAGCATATAACGAAGCTCCTCCATGACCTACTGTTCATATTGATATTGCAATGGCAAAAACTTGTACCAAACTTGTACCTGTCTCGGTGGGCACATTGCGAGCACTTCACGCAATGGAGGGCACCACATCGCCGCATCTCAGAAACCCCACGCATGCGAGCCACTTCCCCGTGTTTTATTGCTCCCGGTCTTGATCATGTATTTTGCAAACAGCAAACCGGTCTGTCATTATCTTCCCTTAAGCCGAATTGGTCCCAGTTTGATCGGTCAAGCGTCGGCGCCCCTCTCGGTCTGGATCCTATCTTGGGGCGCATCGACCCATTTAATACAACCAAATGTACGTAATAAAACACTTTGAAAAAGAGGGTTCGCGCGGTGATAGTGAATTTCCCCGGACGACAAGACGGGGATGCGTTAGTGCCTGACACCACTCCACTGTCATCTAATTACTATCAGGTCTCTCTGCCTCGTCTCGAACGCCGCGTTCTGGTGATGGGTTACCGGCACGAATACACAGACCGTACGGCGTAGAGTTGAGACTTTGAGAAAGCCAAGACAATTTACTGGGACCAAGGCCGGCCAAACCTAGACAAACGCGCGCCCTACAGACAAACTAGGTACGGGATTCCGAATCCTGCTGTCTGCACTCTGCACTCTGCACTCTGCAGACGAGCGAGTCAGGCCCCGAACGTTCCCGCAAGCCGTGATTGGGACGATGGCAGACCGCGCTCTGTAGCCTGCGTGCCTGCGTTCAGGTTGGGCGTCTTGGACCCGGGGCTGGGTTCTTTGTCGGGGTTCTACCCGCTTTCTGTGCATCTTCTCCTGCAATGGCACCGCAAATCATCCCGCCATGCTCCTTGTTTGATGGGAAAGGTACGGAACATGGACATGCCAGCCCGGAGCTAAGCAGGGCCTCCAGGGCTTCTGCTGCCGCGTTCCTCGAGGAAGCAACACACCTTTTCGGCGTGGCCGCCAGCAGACACAAGCAGTACAGAGCCGTCAGTCTTGTCAGAACGCGGTCGTTTGTCGGCAGTAATTGGAGCTAAGCCCCAAGTTTTCGCCTCTCACCCGCGCTTCTCCAAGGGTCTTTTCGGTCTTTTAGGTGCTTCAGCCAACCATCAACTCGACGCCTATCGGATAATGGGGGGGCTTCTTCCTGGTTCTCATGGCTGAATCCGACGTCGGATGTCGCTCGACCCATTGCCAAGATATTAGGAAATGGTCTGGCTCAAGACCAAAGGCTTGCGGCTTGAGGCCTTGGATTCTGGAGAGACTTGGAGACAAGCTCAGAACCTGGAGCACACGTCAGCCCGACGCCAACCAGGAAGAACTGAAGGGAGCGAAAGGCGTGAAAAGTCTCAGCAAATGCTTGATGCGTGGGCCGCCCAATCGACGACTGCCGGGGATTTTCTGGGCCCCTTGTTCTACCCAGTACCATCTGTTCCACCAAGTCTCCTCTTTCGGATCAGTGGCTATCGTCGGCATCACATTCAGATTTCCTCTTACCCCAATGCTTGAGGTGATTCTCAGCTCATGGCCTGCCGTTGGCCTGTTGCTGCAATGCTTCGACCAGGCGCGGAATTCGGATGTGTACGCCAGTGGAACCCTTGGACGGCTAATCGTAAACGTGGGAATGGGGGCATCTTCATCGGGAATGGATCAAAGAAACGCGTCAAGATACCCTCAACGAGGTGACTTTCTCTCCGTTGTCGTCGGTATCGCCCGTTCTGACGTTGCCTCCCTTACCCCCAAGCAGGGATGCTTCCTCCTCGCTCTCCTCAAGTCTCCTCCCCCCGCGCCCACACTTCTGATCGCCCCAGCCAGTTGCCAACCATCCCCTGGCGCGGTTTGCTTATCTCTGCGGGGCTCCTATTAGATGGGGCACTTGGGCCCGTCCGTTGGTCTTGTCTATCACGACCCGAGTAAGTCGCATACTTACACACATACCCAGTGGTAATACCTCCGTAACGCTCCGTATTGGCTTGTCTCTCTCCCAGGAACCGGGAGACGTCAGATGAAGGTTAGCAAGCTAACCATGGAGGGGAAGGGGGGCCGCCGGACGCAAGGTAGCGTCGGGCCAGGGGCACACAACCAACTCATCTATATAGAATAACTGCCCTCCTCACTCGTCCAGGTTGTTGAGTTGTGTTTCAGTCGCATCCCATTCGATCTGCTCGGCGTCTCTGCGAGTGGTAATACCCGACCTCAGCCAGCAATTACCTATACCTAGACGACTTGTGTTTTTAGACAGTCGGACGTCGGATCACCGAAGAAAAGAAACAGATCTTACCGTCACCCGCCCAACATGGCTTCAGGGATGGAAGAAAAGACTGTCGGCCTCAGCCGTGCCGACAGCACCAACAGCAACAAGCTCGGGACTGTCATGTCTGGCACCAATGCTGCTGTTGCTCAACAGTATGGCGAGACCCAGCGTGGTCTCAGCCCTCGCCATGTCCAGCTGATGGCTATCGGAGGTTCTATTGGTACCGGTCTTTGGGTAGGTCTTCTCACAGCCTTACGATGTTTGCGATTCGCAGCGCAGCTATCTCGAGATTCTAATCCGTCTTGACAGGTCGGTATTGGCGGTGTCTTGTCCAAGGCCGGCCCTCTCAGTCTCGTTCTCGGTTACACTTTCTGGGGTCTCCTCTTCATCTGGCCGCTCAACTTGTCTGTCGCCGAAATGTGCGCCTACCTGCCCATTCGCGGTACCATCTTCGAACTCGCCTCTCGCTTTGTTGACCCTGCTCTCGGTTTCGCCATGGGATGGACTTACTTCTTCGCCGGTCTCATGTTGGTTTGTACGGAATACAGCGCTGTCGCAACGGTCATTCAATACTGGAACGCGGATATCAACCCGGCTGCCTGGATTGCCGTGGCCATGGTCTCCTGTGTGGCGGTCAACTTGGTTGCAGTCAAGTACTACGGAGAATCCGAGTTCATCATGGCTTCGACAAAGGTCATACTGCTGATCGGCCTGTGCCTTATCACCCTCATCACCATGTCCGGCGGCAACCCTATGAACGACGCCTATGGATTCCGTAACTGGGGCGACGGCAACTACATCCACGCCTACTTCACCGACGGGTCGACAGGGAGGTTCTTGGGATTCTGGAAGGTTGTCATCTACGCTGCCTTCACCATTGCCGGTCCCGACATGATCGCCCTCGCCGCTGGTGAGATCCAAAACCCCCGCCGCACCATCCCCCGCGTCGCCAAGCTCATCTTCTACCGCCTTGTCGGTTTCTACGTTGTCGGTGTTCTGTGCGTCGGCATCATCTGCAGCTCCCGCGACCCTGGCTTGCTCGGCGCCATTGAGAGCGGCGAGCCCGGTGCTGGTGCTTCCCCTTGGGTCGTTGGTATCAAGAACCTCCACATCAAGGCTCTTCCCGATATCATCAATGCCTTCATTCTCCTCTCTGGATGGTGAGTACCCTTGGTACGTGATGCTTACTCTCGAATCATGCTAACAGCTTTCAAGGTCCTGCGGTAACGCTTACCTCTACTCGACTTCCCGCACTCTCTATGGTCTCGCTCGCGACGGACAGGCCCCCAAGTTCCTCCTCAAGTGCACCAAGGCCGGTGTTCCTATCTACTCCGTCCTTGTCGTCACTGTCATCTCCTGCATCACCTTCCTTGTCTCGTCAAACAGCGCCGTCGATGTCTTCTTCTGGTTCGTCGACTTGACCACCACCGCCCTGATCATGACCTACACCTTCATGCTGATCACCTACATGGGCTTCTACCGCGCCCGCATGGCCCAGAACTTCCCTCCCGAGACGCTCCCCTACCTGTCTCCCTGGACCCCGTACTTCCCCGGTCTGGCTCTGCTTTTGGGCATCCTGGCTCTCATCTTTGTCGGTTTTGACAACTTCTATCCCTTCAGCGTGAGAGGCTTCATCACCTCCTACTTTGGCCTCATCTTTGGTGTCGTCACCTTTCTCATCTGGAAGGTTCTGAAGAGGACCCGCTTCGTCCACCCCAAGGAGGCAGATCTCATCAGCGGAAAGGCAGAGGTTGATGCCGAGTGCCGTCATTGGGAGGAGGGTGGCATCGAGGAGGTGGAGAGAGCGAGACTGGCTGAGATGTCTTTCGTTAGGAGAACCTGGGAAAAGATGTGGTAAAAGTTGCTGGTAGCATAACGATAATTATTTGATGTTTCAATGACTATAACATTCTGTCAAACGTGCGACTATCATTCTTTCTTGACGTCTGGGCTTCGTTGAACAACTTGCTCCAACTTGGTAATGTTTAACTAAGCTCAACCACTTGGACTCAGAGATATAGGCTACATCAGCGAACCACTGCTTGCTTACAGCTGTTGACTCATATCCAGATACGTTAACCCCGGCCAGCTTGTGCTCCCATTAGAGCCAATGCAACCGACACAATCCCTGGAACTACGCTGCGTCCTTCCATCTGACTGCATCAAGTCGCTCGCTCGCTCGTTCTTTAACGGACATGATTGCCAACATAACGTTCTGGTAGCTCAGCAGGGAGAGCGGCAGGTGCCGTTCACCGCGGTCCTGCAGGTCGTGTGTTCAAATCATACCCAGAGCCGAATATCATTTTTGCTTATTCTACTTACTCAGTTTTCGATCTACGGTGTCATTACAGCGCCTATTCCAAGCCCCATAACATTTAGTACATGAACTGACACCGTCGTCTCTCAATTACGTAAAGCTCATTTTCCCCGCCTCGCTTGGACTTGCGGGGAAGTTCGCTCGTCTCCAACTCTCCAAGGTCTCCATGCAGATTCGTGTTCTAGATGCAACTTCAACTCACTTGGCGCGGCTCTCGTTGCGAAACCGGCTTATCCCACCGGGTCTAAGATGCTCAAATTCTCCAAACTCACGCGATCATTTACTACAGCCGTGCTGGCCTAGCAATGCGGCCCGCCAGGTATTCGACCTCACGACAAAAGGCATGCCAGCCATGCGCGACCGCCAAAGCCAAATGTGACCGGAAAGCTGTGACATGTTCCCGGTGCCACCAGCGGGGCCTCCCATGTCTCTATCCACAGACTCGGACGATCCCTTCATCCGCGCCGGGTGCTGCCGGTCTGCATTCAGAGGCTGAAGCCGAGGTCGATACGGACCGCGTAGCAACCACGATATCCGCGACTGTGGAAGCGAACGCGGGGTTCTCGCCGTTTCGAATCATTCCGTCAAACGAGACGAGCGCTTCCTTTCGGGCGGGCGAACTGCTGGCCACAGACACTGATCGATCAGACGTCCTCAAGCCTGAGGTGTTCGACTTCTCGGACATGGGCCTTGTCTGCACCATCAACGCTGATGACATTGCCAATCGATGGCTGAATAACTTCGTCCCAATACCGGGACAATTGGCAAAGAACTACTCGCCGAGTATATCGGCTTTCATCCAGAGGATTCTGGAATCCTACGTAGATTGTTCCATCCGCGGGCGCAAGGTTCCTCCTTTTGTACATTGGTCCCAGATAACTCTGCCATCCAGCCAACCCTTGTCAAATTGTCTTAGGGCCATTCGAAGCTTTGGTGGGCCCGATGTGGCAGGCGCCGAGGCCGTAGCCAACGAACTCAAGGTAGAGATGGCGAGGCTTTACAGCCAACACGCCTCCTACGATGATATGGCACTTCTCGCAGCATTTCAAACGCATCTTATTTACGCCATGGTCATCTTTTTCAAATTCGGGAAAGCTTATCACCCATTTCTACGGGAGGCCATGATGAGTACCCAAGACCTCGCATGTGCGGTGGCGAAGAAAGGACTCACGTGCGTTTCCGGAGATGAGCCCCGTCCCAGGTGGGAGTGCTGGATTGCCGCCGAGGCTAAACGAAGAACTCTGTTCACGATGTGCCTCTTCGATAGCGCCCTGCTGACACATGACGGCCTCTCAACTCATCTTGCCACCGAGTTACGCGGGTTATCAGCGCCGGCGTCCAAGGCGTTGTGGGAGACTCGAACGAGGCGCGACTGGAGAGGTGTATATGACCTTCAGCAAGCAGAATGGCCAGATAGTTGGCTGGCTATCGACGAATTATGGCCTGTGCCTGGAAATTTCAGCGAGACTGAAGTTATCCACAGGCGTTCAAGAGTAAAAGCATGGCTGGAGGACCTAGACGAATTCGGCACAATGATATATGCTGTGACCAGCGGTACCCACGGTACCTGATTCCGGCCAAAGACATTTGTTATTCACATTAAGGTCAGGTGTCTGAGAAGCGTATAATAATTTCTTGGAATCAGTATTGACTGGAGACTGGATGTGGTCCCCCCCAAGTATGGAGGCTGAAACAAATACTCAAACTATCGTGATCATCTCTTCAGCGACATGCGCGAACCAGTCTCGAAGTGGATATTCTTCCGTGCGGCAGAAGCCAACACGACGGAACTCTTGCGGCTGGCTTGTTGCCTCTAGCAGGAGCCCGTACCAACGGCTTGGCTCTTTGACTCTTCTCGACACCTGTAAGTAGTAGAGAGGGATGTTACTTCCGCAGTAATCCTTGTCGAACACTGCTAATCCGACCATGATCCCATTCTCCTTGAGCAAATCAATTGCTAACTCTTTCCGATAGGTCGAGAACCTCTGATAACCCGGGGATTCTGGGTTTTCTCTTGGATCGGCTAGTCTGAGCTTTCCTTCTAGCTGCAGATATCCCGATTTCAACATACCCCTCGGGTCCAAGCCGAGTGGCGTTGTCTCTGCTTGAGTAATCCTCACCACCACCTCCATCTCGTTTCCCGAGGGCAGAATGTTTCCGATCTCGGGCATCATGACAGCGCCTTCCAAAGACGCCCAACTCCAACTTGGGGCGCGAAAGCCATCTGACGGGGTTTCAAGCCAATTCTCGCTTCTCCTCCAAAGCAACCCATAATGCAGGTGGTACTTCCACAACCCGGCAAGGTATCGCTGCCCGGTGCATTCCTCCATCACCTTGGCGAGACCGGAAAGCGCTGGTAGCCGATCGTAGGACTTGGTGATGCCTCTTCTACTATATGCCGATACCATATCGTACCAGTCCCACACGAATTCTGATGTAGATAGACGTCCTTGCGCAAAAGGGTATGAAAGGTGAAGTCGTTCGTCCCACACTAACTTTTGCACTGCGAATGCATCCGTCGGTACCCCATCTTCTGCCAGACGAGATTCACGACATTCCCAAAGAAGTTGATCAGAGTCGTAGTGTACCATTCGGGCAGATAGCAGGCGCTCTTGCGTTACCCACGCACGTGAATGTAGGATGCTTTGTGGTAGGTGACTGAAGTCACGAGGTCTAGGTCGTAAGAATACGGGAATAGACACCGATTCATCGTTCGTCTTCCGAGTACACTTAACTTGAACGTGATTTGAAGTTGAACGCGGTAAGAAGCAACCCCCTGTGGAGTCTGCGGACGCTGAGGCAGCGATAGTCAGACATGAAGAGGCGTAGATAGTGCCCATCTTCACACTCTCGAGTTCCCAGTCCTCTTTTGAGTCCTGTACGATGCAGAGGGACTCGATCCATAGATACTGAACGCCAAGTGACCTCGTTATCAAGACTGCGTCTCTGAACGTCGGAGGTAACTTGGACATTGGCAGCGACTTGATGTGGCCATTGATTGTCTCGCTAGTGGTGCGAATAACAGGATGTAAGCCCCAACAGTGACTTAATGTCATGTATCGGCCGACTTCTCCACTCGTCACAACGAGCCGAGGCTCCCCCACTCCTTCGACACCAACATCTACAACTCGTGTGGGCAGAGTAGCAGGGGCTGAATGGCAACTCTGGTGGTGATCTTCACACTCGCGCACCCAGTCTTTCACAAGACTGAGTTGCTTAGCGGGAGGTTTGATGGGTCTGCCTAGGATGGAGTTCTCTAGCCGGGTCGTCTCGTCTTTGGGATAGAAGCTGAAATAGCAGTATGCCCTCGGGCTCAGGCGATCGCAGCGGACCTTGACCCAAAAGAGTCCCCGAGACTCGTACTTCTCATCTTTGTACTGAGTGCCCCGCAAGATGACCGGCGAGTCTGTGTCATACCAAGCCTCTTGGTCAACACTAACTCCCTCGACCCGGAGCTTTTCGGTGATAGATGTGTGGAAGAGTTGACACAAATCGCACGCAGAAACATTTCTCTCGAGATCAGCGATTGAAGAATGAAGAACAATGTCTTGAACTTCGTATTCCTCATCAACTAGGTCAGCAAGATCAAGCTGACGGCAATCTTGACAAAGAGACATGGTCGAGGGCTTCTGGGCGTCAACATGTTCCGATGAAGGTCGAAATGAGAAAATGAGCAGCTGACTTATGAGGGGTTTACCAGGAAGCCCCGCTGCACACATATAGACTTGGGCTCCATTCGTAGTGAATGATACAGGAGGTTGGAGCTTATGCAGCTCTGCGTGTGCACAAAACAGGGTTACATTCAGCCGGCGTATCTTCTGCGACGCCAAGCGCTTCACTGGAGATTTCAGAGTTCCACTGTACTGTCGTTACCACTGAATAACCAGCAGGTGTCTAATTTTGTACCATAGTAGGCGAAGGTCACCAGTTGGTGGCGGTCTTGAACCTACCAAGTCTACATCAATTTCCGCGGGGGAAGAATGTTAGCAGCAACCATGCGATCAAAGGCGATGAGATAGCCTTCGGTCATGCCCAACTCTTCCCTAAACCCAACAGACCGGATCTTATCCAGACACATTGCCCGATTTCTCTGTAAGAGAGAAAAACCGACCCCCATCGTGAATATCCAAGACGCAGCTGGTATATCACGGTGCTTCAAGCCATACTCGGCACACATCCTGTTGTAGTCATCTTGGTGTTCTTCCCACCACTTTTCGACGGGAAACGTTGCTGAAAAATATGTTAAGATATATCAAAGAGGAATGGCAGCGGTATAGAGACTCACTCTGTGCTCCCTCAACTGGAGGCGTTCCCTGCAGCCCGAAATAATCGACCATGACAGGCCATCGCTCCACCCAGGAAACTGGAGTTGCATTATCAGCAGTATTGAAAGCTTCCCCGTTCGATTCTTCTGGCTTCACGGTCGATAAATAAATATGAGACTTTGCAATAATATCCTGCGATGAGTCTGTGTTGGTGTGGGTGTAGTTCGTAGCTGTACCAATGAACTTGATTTCGGCTCCGGGCCCATGGACATAACGCCAGAGCGCAAGGAAAAGAGCGATCGGCTCAAGAAACGTCATGATTGAAGTCGTACCAGGAACGAAGCCGACGATTGCATCGGGGCGAACTTCACACCATCTCCAGGACTTGCCCTTCTGTAACTCCTCGATAGCATCTACTTGCCCGTAGTAGAAGATTTCATCTCCGTATGGAGACGGAATTCGCGGCTGAGACTCTTTCAATGGAGGATGTATCTCAATCTTGTCCTGATGTTGGAAGACAGCCACTCCGTAGCTCTATTTCAGTATCGTGAGTAAGGTAGTGGCATACAATGAACACAGCAGAGTAGCAGATGGCAGATTACTAACGTTGGTGCCAGTCTGCAAACTCAGAAATTTCAGACTTGAGCAGATCTCATCAACCGCCTTGACAGCGTTTCGAGTCATGGTGACGTTGATATTACGAATCTCCATGACGTCGACTGAATATGCTGTCGCATTTGAGTAGGCTCTTTCCGTCTCAGTTCACATACCATCTCGTCAACGGCTGCAATACTGACCACAGTAGTACACATGCGTGATGTCCTGCATGTTGGGGATCTTGATTTTCATTTGCTCCTTGATAGTCTCGATGTCCTCACGTAAGTTGATGCCAGAGTAGATCTCCAAACGAGGATCATTCTTGGGAAGCTGGCTTCCTGACAGGTCCATCGGTCGGTTTGTTAGACCAATAATGCGGCAAAATGTGGATGCTGTGGGATAAATGAACAGATTGTTTGTGACGGCCCATCCGGAGATCCCACTAGCCCCGAAGACCAGCGCGACATATTTGCTGGGAGGCTCCATAGTCGGGAAAGACCTGATCGAATGATACGCCAGCCAGTAACTTGTTGTCAGCGGGAGGTTGAGATCTTGAAGAACAGGGACTGGAGAACGAAGAGAAGAGTTGGGATCAAAGAGCCTGACGGAGCGTGTGTCGCTTATTTATGACGGCGTAGATGGCCATGATACTTGGCTAGAGCCTGATGGTCTAGACCCCGAGTCTTGAGTGTTTACCGGACAATACTGCCTACAGCAGACCTTGGACCGAGCTGTCGGATTCGAACCCTAGTCGCCCGTTGCCTGGTCCGGGCCGCGGGGTTCGAACTGTGGAGTTACAGAGAGAGTGCGAGTGGTCGAATCACATTCTTCAGCGAAGAAGCGCTAGACCCCTGCGACGAAGCGTCGATGGGTAGGACGAGGTGAAGGTTCTTATGAAGCCTAACTACCTTATTGTTGGCTTTACTTCTTAGCTTTTGAAATCGTATGTTTTAAGATAGCAAGCGTCTCTAAGGAGCACCATGGTACATATCGTGGCCCAACTAAACAGACTGAGGAGGTTCGGGAAGGAGATATGCCTCAAGAAGACCAGCACCAAGATAACGAGACTTGACTACAATTTTTGACGGAAATGGAATGTGCTTCAGTCATTGTCTGCTGAGCGAAATGCCATTGAATGCTATTGAATCATTGCTATCCTACTCCCCGCTTGTCTCAATAGCCCAGGAAATGTTTTCGTTCCAACTTTGAAGCTTGTAGCCGGTCCACTAGCCTTTCCCTCCACAATCTCGATGCGTGTCTATTCAGGGACCTATTAGACAAGAGAAAGTTTCATATGATCAGTGCCTAATCCGTTATGCCCGATACAGAAAAACAAGTACCCAAGTTGTCCATTCTAGTCGGCTCTTGATTGCGCGTTGGAACTCGTTCTCAAGAAAGGGCCTGCGGGCCGCCGATCACGCGATTCGAGACAATTAAAATGTCTTGGGTGGTATAAGCAATATTCGAGTTAAGATTAGTACTTGACCAAAAAGGCGTTTTTTGAGGTTTGGAAAGCTCGGTTGAAGTATCCAGCCTTGCGGAAAGCATCCACACATATTGAGACAAACGTACTCTCCCTGAGATTTAAAATACAAAACTCTACACGCTCAAGCTGCGACTACCAGCTGCTCCCGCTGACAAAATCGAAAAATCGCATCTACATATGTGTCAGGTAAGGTAGGTGAGTAGGTACCTTAAGTAAAGATGACTGCTGCACATGCAAGACTTGTCTACCTTATGGTAAGGCAGCTGAAATATTGTCTTCAATCTAAGAACCGACTGATAGCTTCTAATTCATACTAATCACACTTATACCAATGAATTGAGGCCACTCCTTCACTTGTGTGTTGTTCACCTGACTTAATTAAGTTCAAACTCCCTTCTCCACCGCCACATGAGTGCCCACGGCATGTCCCGTATGACGCCATTCAAGTCGTATCGCTCGATACCTTACTTCCCCACGATCAATTCATGTGTTCACGCTCATGATTCCCTAATCATTCAACCTCGAAATTTGTTCCTTTGATTAGAAGCATGTTGGTACCTGTAGCTATTTATTCTCAGGGTCTTACTGCAACTTGATTCGAGAACAGCTATATTGCCTGCTGTAGAAGTAAGCATCCCTCAGAGCTTAGGGATTTTTGGAAATCGTTCAATCAGAAGTTTCTCTATTGATCACGATAGTATTAATTTATTTGTCGTGCGTTGGTGAGTCTAGCGTAGGTGAACGGGCCGACCAGATACCAACATGAAGACAGACAGCAGTCGCCTGAAGCAATGGCAATCCAATTAAAGCTGCTGTCGAGGCCAAGTCTAACGTCCTGCTCATCCTGTCACTATACCGAGCGATGGACGAGACAACGAAACAATATTAGAGCTCCAGAAGTTGTTGGTCATCGTTGTACCTCGTTGATCGGCCTGTATTGATAATAGAACTGGTTCTGAGCCCTTGAAGAGCAGTTCTAAATGCTTCAACGAAAAGCTGTCTTTGATACTGCTGCTAATGCCATGATTTCGACTGTCTTCTGAGTGCGTGTTGTTAAGACCTGAGTTACGCTAAGGCTCAGAATGAAAAAGCTTGTCATCGATAGTCGTGCTTAAGGCCGCGGAAACACGGCTCAAAACGGATAGTAAGGGCCCCTACATTCAAGAGATTCTGAACTCGTCTCTACATGCGATAGGCAGCAGCGTATAATACTACCTAGAGTAGGTAGGTCGAGACAGAGAGCCGCAATTGAGGCGACAAAGATTCCGCGCCGTACAGCAAACTGGATTGGCATGTCTGCAGTTGGCGTTGACACTGTCTACCGTAGAATACCACCGATTGAATTGGCGGTCAAAATTGATGTGCATGTTGAAGCGAACGCGAGCGCGAGTCAATTGTAGGCTGGAATTTCCCCACATGCTCGATTGCGACCTCCCGCCGGCGACCAACGTAAGCGCTCGCCGGCTTGCGCCAGTAATTATTGCCGACCGGACTTCTTGGATAGCTCGCATCGGCTACAGTGACTTCCGAGCTCAGAGTCGCATCAATTCAACGGCAATATGTGCATGCTGAGAGTTGGACTCAAGTTTTGAAAACGAGATGGCGAAGCTAAGGAGTCAGCAAACTCTTGGCTTTCTATTGCGATGCAGTAGTAGGTGTGATCAGCGGGTGAGGGGCTTTCGGCTCGACATGACCGGTCTCGTACTCCGTGGAGATCAGATTTCCGTGCCAACCTCAGACTCTGTGAGGCTCTTCGAGACTCTTGGCCGGGCTGTGCATGTTAGAGAACGTCCTTCAATGCGATGACTCTGTCTTGACAATGGTCATAACATGGCGCTATGAAATATTGACAAAAGGAAAATTCCCCAGCGGAAACGACAGCTCTTTTAGCCAAGAAACAAAGTGCCACACGATTCAACAGCTTTGCAACATGATCCCGCCCCTGAGTCAAAGCGCGCGCGGGAAACAGTACGGATGATGAACTGGAGCTTACTCCGCCCGAACACCGATGAGCAACCTACAGGAAGCTGGAAACACTTGTTGATCGGGTGGGGTTGCCCCCGCCCCAAGTGATTGCCAGCAGGATGTCGCTGGAGGTGACGAGAGATGTTGACAGGGAAAGATTTGCCGAGGTCGTATCAACCGCACACGTGCTCCGCCTGACCTTCCATTGAAGCTCTTGACATGCCACCGACGACATATTGGAGAACCTTTTGTTTTTCCGTTGCCAAATAGGATTTGAAACCCCTTTTTTTGCCTGACTCTTGGCCTGTCTCCAGTGCGAGGAACAGAAGCAAAATCCGTGCCATCTAGACTCTTGTCTGTCATGTACGGCTAAACCTTCCCCTCTCCTCGCAAACTCGTCTGATCCTACCATCATCTCGCTTATTCTTTGCTCGAAAATCCCTCGTTCACCCCTGTCTCTGCTAAGATTTCTGTCAATCCCCAAGCTAGTCTTCGCCTTTCTCGCCTCCTCCTTCCCGTTTTCTGCAAGCTTCACACCTCTAGCTACTTTTGATCATCAACCAGAGCTCCTGTGAATGCTCTCTTAAACTGCCAAGCCTGCATCATGTGCTGTTCGTTGGTTTCTGAGGCTGACCTGGGCCGCATTCCGGCGGGTCATCTCTCCACACACACGGTGCTATGCCTGCTTCTTTAAGCTTGTCAGAACGATTTCCCGGCCCCAATCTACCTAATTCGGGCTTATCAGATGGGATCAGGAATATTGGTTCCTCAGTAATAAGTCTCTTGAAGTGTGGCAGTGCTGATTCGGCCGGGGTTTGAGTTCTTTTGCTTTTGCCGTTCTGTCGGAAAGTGGAGAGCTATGATGAAGGTGAGGTTGGATGGCTAAGCTTGAAAGAGGTAGCCCGGCGAAAGCTGCCCTTGGAAGAGTATTCATATTCTCTGGGCGCCGCTTGTTCGGCACGTCTTGCTTTCGAGCTCGACAGCACTTTCTCTTTTTCTACCGGGCTATACATGACATCCCTTCATGATGGCTGATAAGTTTCTCAGCCCCAACCCCCCACATGCGGACTCCCGTTCGCGGGCCACGAGTGATGCCGACACTATTGCCCCGGACGGGTCCAATCCGTTTCTCACGCCGTCCGGGACCACCGCTGCCCCCAGTACCGCTGGTGCGAGCCTCAATCTTGAAGATATTGAATCGTCTTTGAGGCCTGACCCAGGCACGGAGCGCGACTTTCACGTGGAGAACAACCCATTCGCGTTTTCCCCCGGCCAACTCAACAAATTGCTGAACCCCAAGTCCCTCTCAGCATTCAGAGCGCTCGGCGGGCTCCGAGGTATTGCTCGTGGCGTTCAGACCGATGTACGCAGTGGTCTCAGTGTCGACGAAGCAGGCGTCAGATCAAGAATCAGTTTTAATGAAGCAGTCGACAACCACAACGATAGCAAACCGGTTTCCCCAACGACAGAGAAGCATGTGCCGTCTTCCGGGGCACCGTTCGTGGACCGTACCCGTGTTTACGGTCGCAACGTACTGCCGCCAAAGAAGCCCAAGTCGATCTGGAAACTGATGTGGATCGCGTTCAATGAAACGGTACTTATTCTCTTGACGGTTGCCGGAGTCATCTCTTTGGCCCTCGGACTATACGAGACACTCGGCGTTGAAAGGCCTGCAGGCGCACCGGCTTCTGTCGACTGGGTCGAAGGCGTCGCCATCTGCGCTGCGGTCATCATTGTCGTCCTCGTCGGATCCCACAACGATTGGCAGAAGGAGAAGGCATTCGTCAGGCTGAACACAAAGAAGGATGACCGTCAAGTCAAGGTCATTCGTTCCGGGAAATCAGTTATGATCAATGTTAACGAGATCCTGGTAGGCGAAGTGCTCCATCTGGAGCCTGGCGATATGGTCCCTGCCGATGGAATCTTGATTGAAGGACACGAAGTTAAGTGCGACGAGTCTTCGGCTACTGGTGAATCCGATGTTCTTAAGAAGACTGCTGGCGACCAAGTCATGAAGCTTCTGGACTCTAAACACAACAATCATGACGACCTGGACCCCTTTATCATCTCAGGATCCAAAGTTCTCGAAGGTACGATCTTTACCGCCTATCCTTCAAACTTATAAGCTGATAAATTGCAGGTATGGGAACCTACATTTGCACCTCTGTTGGTGTCCACAGCAGCTTCGGCAAGATCATGATGTCTGTACGGTACGATATCGAAGCTACACCTCTACAAAAGAAGCTTGAACGCCTTGCCATCGCCATCGCCAAGCTCGGCGGAGGTGCATCGGCTCTGATGTTCTTCATCCTGCTTTTCAGATTCGTTGCCAGTCTTCCTGGTGATGACCGACTGCCTGCTGACAAGGCATCGACTTTCATGGACTTGCTTGTCGTTGCTATTGCTATCATTGCTGTAGCTGTACCTGAAGGCTTGCCGCTGGCCGTCACTCTTGCCCTCGCGTTCGCGACAACGAAGCTTCTCAAGGAGAATAACCTCGTTCGCGTACTTCGATCTTGCGAAACCATGGGTAACGCAACGACAATCTGCTCGGATAAGACAGGCACTCTGGTATGATTCGTTCTTCCTGATATGAACCGAGCAGCAACTGACAGTGTACAGACAACAAACAAGATGACGGTCGTGGCCGGCACCTTCTCCACCACTAGCTTCACTGCATTGTCCCAGTCCGACAATGAGAAGACATCGGGGACACCTCACGTCACTACATGGGCCGCTGGCTTGCCTACAGGAACCAAGGAACTTATCGTTCAGTCGGTTGCTGTGAACTCCACAGCCTTTGAGGGTCAAGAGGATGGTCAGGCAACTTTCATCGGATCTAAGACCGAGACAGCACTCTTACAGTTGGCGAAAGATCACCTTGGTCTTCAGTCACTTGCTGAGGCCCGTGCCAATGAGCAAGTCGTGCAGATGCTTCCCTTTGATTCCGGAAGGAAGTGTATGGCCGCGGTCATCAAACTTCGCGACACCTCGAAGGGATATCGTGTGCTGGTCAAGGGTGCCTCTGAAATTATGCTTGGGTACTGTTCATCTAAGACTCAGCTGGAGACTTTGACTGAAGAGCCCATGACGTTCACCGAGCGACAATCTCTCGAATCAACCATCAACGAATACGCTCGACGATCCCTTCGGACCATTGGCATCGTGTACAAGGACTACCCCCAGTGGCCGCCTACAAACATGCCTTCAGAAGATGGACACGTCAAGCTTGAGTCTCTACTGACGCCTTCTGACCTAGTGTTCCTCGGCATTGTTGGAATTCAAGATCCCGTCCGAGAGGGTGTTCCCGAGGCGGTCAGGCTTGCGCAGCATGCTGGCGTCACAGTCCGTATGGTCACTGGCGACAACATCGTCACCGCTCAAGCTATCGCCACAGAGTGCGGGATCTTCACCGGCTCTCAGGGAGTGATTATGGAAGGACCAGCTTTCAGGAAACTTTCTGATGAGGACATGAATAACATTCTTCCCAAGCTACAGGTATTGGCTCGTTCGTCTCCTGAAGACAAGCGGATTCTCGTGACGAGATTAAAGGCTCTCGGAGAGACGGTCGCTGTCACAGGTGATGGTACGAACGATGCTCCCGCACTCAAGGCCGCAGATGTTGGCTTTTCGATGGGCATCTCAGGTACCGAAGTGGCCAAGGAGGCTTCCGCAATTGTTCTCATGGATGATAACTTCGCATCGATCGTGACTGCACTCAAGTGGGGTCGCGCAGTCAATGATGCCGTTCAAAAGTTTCTTCAAGTAAGTTCCTAATCGATTGAGGCGACTAGTCACCTGGCTGTTGCCCCCAGTCACTCAAATACGCATCACCAGGTTGCTAAATGTTCACGATATAGTTTCAAATTACCGTTAACATCACTGCTGTCCTCTTGGCGTTTATCACAGCCATGTATGACCCTCATATGGAGCCGGTGCTGAAAGCTGTTCAATTGCTTTGGGTCAACCTCATCATGGACACATTTGCTGCGCTCGCACTGGCAACGGATCCTCCGACCGACAAGATTCTCGACCGGCCCCCTCAAAGAAAGGATGCACCACTTATCACCATCAACGTAAGCCTTTCTCCGTTGCTGAATCCTGCAAACACAGCTGACAGCCAACTTTAGATGTGGAAGATGATTATTGGACAAGCTATTTTCCAGCTCATCATTACACTCACCCTTTACTTCGCCGGCCCCGAGATTCTCAACTACGACAGAAATAGCGAGGATCAAATGCTGCAACTCGATACGGTCATTTTCAACACCTTTGTCTGGATGCAAATCTTCAACGAATTCAACAATCGACGCCTCGATAACAAGTTCAACGTGCTCGAGGGTGTCCACCGCAATCAATTTTTTATTTTCATCAACCTCCTGATGGTTGGTCTTCAGGTGGGGATCGTTTTCATTGGCGGTCGCGTGTTTGAGATCAAGGAGGGTGGCCTCAACGGAACCCAGTGGGCCATCTCCGTCGTGATCGCCCTCATGTCTTTGCCATGGGGTGTGCTGGTCCGTATATTTCCGGATGTCTGGTTTGAAAGAGTGGCTGTTTTCGTCGGAAAGCCTTTTGTACTGGTGTACAGATTCCTCGGGAGAATGTTTGCGCCTGTTGGCCGATTGTTCAAGCGAAAGCAACGAGATGCTACCGCATCAGATGAGGAAGTACCTGCTACAATTATTGTCGCCCCACCCGAGGAAAAGGGGCAGCAACTTTGATGAAACCCCCATAAGCGGGAAGTGGCATGGCATGGCATGGTAGAGTAAGGCACGGAAAGACCTCTATCACAGAGGCGACGTTTATTGATTTGCATGGAATGTTTGGGCGGTATTTTCGTGGCATCCTTCAAGGTGTCTTTCTCATGGAGTCTGATCCTCGGATGGGAGACTCACTTCACGTTGGATATTTGGAACATACAACGACTGAAAAGACTGTCGCTACATATAAGTAATCGTAAAAGAAGAAATAGTAAAATGTCGCCTGTTACCACCAAGAGTGCATATTGTTATCAATTGGAGTCTCAATCGTTTCAAGTTCTGAATGTAGGAATTGGTATCTTCGAAGGTTTAGCATCCTCGTTTAACAATGCATGAGGTGCTCACACAGTGTCTTTGCACCTAGGTAGACTCAACTCCAACTGATGACAATAGATTTCTGGACGGAAATAGATATTCTAGCTCCTTTCTCTGAAAATAGTTGATGTAATTACGACTTTTCACAGCACGAAAATTAAGTCCATCAACCAACTTGCCCTACACCATCTTGAGAAAAGACGCATTATAGCGAATTTGGATAGCCTTCGCTAACAAATAACAGACGATGCGTACTCTAGGAATTTTCGACCCCTTTGACGACCACAGGGAAACTTCCGGTGGAAACGAGGTCGTCTGCGTTCCAGAACAGAAGATAGGTGTCTTCCCATTCAGATGGCTTCGCCCAGAATTGCGCTTCCAGCTGTGAGTTATTGTTGTACACCAGCTGTGTCGCAAAAAGCGCCCACCCATAGGTAGTTTGGTTAACAGTGACTGCCTGAGGGATTTGAGTAAGACCCATTGCATTATCTTCGCTGTCGGTGATGGTCAAAGAGCCAGCAGATGTTCCGTTCACGAACGTGCCATTGACCTTCCAGTTCTCACCCGTGATGGACGGAAGATCCCAAGTGATCGGGACTAGGTTGGCATTGGCATCGTCAGGGGTCTGAGTGATGTACAGATATCCTGTGTGGTGAAGTCAGCAACGCTTGTTGTCACCCCAAAACTTGATTTATACGGATGACTGGAATACATACCGTCATCCAATCCATAAGCAATAGGCCATGAAGATGAGTTCGTTCCGTAAGCGTAAAGTGTTGCGTTTGTTTCGGCCTTTCGCTTGACATTGACGTTCCACGAGGGAGAGATGGCTGAGGCACAGATGAGACCGGCCTGCAGGAGAGCGAGAACTCCGACCTTGGACAAATGCATTTTGGTAGCGACTGAACTAAAGGTAAGAGCCTTTGGCAAGATCGGGGCTGAGGGGACAGGAATGCGGCCGGGTTAAGTCAGAAATCCAGCAACGAAGAACGCGGAGCACATAGATGTCGATTCACACAACAGAGACTTTCCAGGTTGGCGTAATCCTTAAAGACCGCGGAGTTTACCACTTACACCCAACCCACAAGGAGATGCTAAGCATTGCCCCCCACATTGCCGATTTTGAGATGCCGCTTGCCCGGTGATCGTCGTTGGTTCTTTTGGCAAAGAGGGGCAGTTCCGAGCTCGTAAACGCAATCGAAGCCCACCCTCGGGAAGCACAGACAGCAAAATAAACAAGTCAGAGCTGTCAAAGTTGTGGGTTTATTCCTGACTAGGAAGGCTCTGATGTTTTTACCCCTGGAGAAATGGGGCCGTTCCGGGATCCTCCATCTGAAGTTCTGTTGCGGCTGTCATTCTTCCAACGTTGCGGGTGCAGGTCAGCCTTATTGCATGGCTTAAGGTGAGTGGCTAGATCCATCACCACCCGCATCTCATTTAACGGTGAATCAACCATAATGCCCACGGCCACTCTGGAAATAGATATCCCCATCTGACCCGTCCTCACAGCCCCACCGATGCAGGCTTTCTTCTCACTTCACTGGCAGGTTTGACGTGTAGTCGACGTGTAATCTATCGCGGCCTGCTGGGCTGAGGAGGTTATCCCGGTGCGGAATCACCGTACTATGTGGGACAACTTAGTCTCTGCGAGGCAGAAACTCTGTTTGCACCCACAAGACGACAGTCATCTTGCTCCGCAAGACGCCCAAACCGACGGCAAAATCCGTTTTTTGTTGTTCATCACCAAAGCCCACATCCCGCATCATGAAAGGCGGAGTGGTTCAATTGTCCAAAGAATTGCGAAGAGAGGGATGGAGACATCAAATATTTAGAGTTGTCCCCAACTTCTCAGTGACCATCGAAACCTAAAAGGATATAAATGAGACCAGCAGACGGGGCAGATTTCGTTGTGTTTTCTCAACCACTTCTTTTCTCTAATCGTTGACTTCAACACTCGTTTCTCACTGTTTCGGCTGTGGGCTAATAGTCTTTCGTTGTTTCTTACTTGATATCACAATGGTTTGCGGGAAGCTTCTCGCCACTTGGGCAGTAGCTGTCGTTACTGGTGCCACTGCGGCTTGTACATCAAACAGACACCAGACCGCCGGTGGTTCTGCTGACGTATCCCCAGTCATCGAGGCTGTTGCCAGTTCAAGCTCGCCTAGTTCATCTGCCTCGTCTGGTTTGCCTGGCTCCGGTGCCACGTGCGTCAACAGTCCTTCGAACAGAGCTTGCTGGACTGAAGGTTTCGACCTATCTACAAACTACTACGATGAGGTCCCGGATACAGGCGTAGTGAGAGAATATTGGTTCAATGTTGAGAATGGCACAGCCGCTCCAGATGGATACGAGATGCCAGTTCAGCTCATCAACGGATCCTTCCCCGGCCCAACCATTATTGCTGACTGGGGTGACACTGTTGGTACGTAATCACATACAGGGACACAAGCCTGATCTTGATTCGAGGGGCTAACACTGAATTTTGACAGTTGTCCACCTGAAAAACTCGCTTCAGACAAACGGTACCGGTCTTCACTTCCATGGCATCAGACAGAATTGGACGGATCAAATGGATGGTGTCCCTAGTATCACCCAGTGCCCCATTGCCCCCAACGACACTTACACCTACAAATGGCGAGCTGTTGAGTACGGCACCGGTTGGTATCACTCTCACTTCTACGTTCAAGCATGGGATGGAGTCTTTGGTGGCATCACTATCAACGGACCGGCTTCGGCAAATTACGACGTCGACTTAGGTCATCTCTTCCTCAACGACTGGTATCACGTGAGTTGAATGCTTGGACTGTTTGGCAAGAACTCAAGAACTTTTGATTGACTTTTCCATCCAGCAAACGGCAGATGAACTCGTTACCAAAGCTGCTACGGGAGGTCCCCCCACAGCAGTCAACGGTCTGATCAACGGCACCAACACCTTCAACGACACCATGGGCTCTAGATTCGAAACAATTTTCGAACCCGGAACTAGGTACCGCCTTCGCCTAGTCAACGCCGCCGCAGATAATCACTTCCGTTTCATGATCGACAATCATACCATGGAGATTATCGCAACAGATTTTGTCCCCATCGTCCCGTACAACGCCACGCAATTGAGCATTGGTATGGGCCAGCGCTACGACATCATTGTGGAGGCTAAGGACCTGACCGACGGCGACTTCTGGCTGCGATCCATTGCACAAGAGTCCTGCTCCGAGTCTGATGCTGTTGACGATGTCAAGGGTATCATTCGTTACTCCAACTCTTCCACCTCGGATCCCACGACCTCGGCTTACAGTTACACTGACTCATGCTTGGATGAGGCATCCTCCAACCTTGTGCCTTACCTCGCCATCAACGCGTCTGACACTTACATCAGCGCAGATGAGAAGGTTGCCGTTGAAGTCACAGACAACGCCCTCCTGTGGACGATGAACAAGACTTCCATGCATACCCAATGGGAGTACCCCACCGCCATGCAAATCTCGCAAAAGAACTCTACTTGGCTCACCAAGCAAAACGTTATCCACCTGCCTGACGCTGACAAGTGGGTGTACATGGTCATTCACTCGCCTTTTGCTCAGGACCATCCCATGCACCTTCACGGCCACGACTTCTGGGTTCTCGACTCTGGTTACGGTAACTTTGACAGCACTCAGACCGATCGTCTGACCTTGGTAAACGCTCCCAGAAGAGACGTAGCTATGATGCCAGGCAGTGGATATTTGGTCATCGCATTCAAGACGAATAACCCTGGTGTAAGTACCTCTTCGATCACATTAAATTGCCTCCAGATCTTCAGACCACTGACTGCCGTCCGATTTAGGCTTGGTTGATGCACTGCCACATTGCTTGGCACACCTCGGAGGGTTTTGCCGTGCAAATCGTTGAGCGAGAGTCGGAGATCACCTATGACACGGATGTGCTGAACCAGACCTGCACCAACTGGATGAACTACGTAGTCCAGTCTGACTTGAATCAATATGATTCCGGTGTCTAAGGCTTGAGGCTAGTAATATCGAATGATTATGCGTGCTCAAGGGTCATAAAGGTCCATAATACAACGGGCAGAGAGGGCAGAAAACGTTCCATAATGTAATTGAAACTTTTCACTCAAGCACCTATCTATAAGGCTTGGACTACGTGTCGGTTGTCATGGCCTCGCTTGAGGAATTCGCCCCACTCCCATGTACCAAAACCGCACGCTCGATACTTCAGTTGAGATCCGATGCCTTCATTACTTATGATCAGCAGGACCAAGAAGCGTGACGGATGTATAGAAAGTAGTGTCATGGACCAACGTGGGGTAGTGTCCATTACAAAATATTACTAACTAACTCTCGAGTGAAGCTAAGTGAGCATTCATCAGCACGAAGTGGGCTGCCGCCTCTTGGATACTTACATCTGCAGCCTGATAACATATCTCAAGATATCACTATCATGCAGAACAACTCTGCGCCAATACTTGTTTGATAACATGACTTGGTCGCCTGTTCCTAGTATGGACACAAGTAAGCTTAAGACATCTCACAAGCAACTGTGTTGTTCCGCCATCGGCTAGCTCCAGTACGAGGCCTAGCGAACAACTCTTCCTGCTTCAGGTCTTCAGTGCCGACACCGAGCATTCCCCGCAACCCCTCAACTGCAGCGCT